CCTCATTTTTACTTGACCGTGATAGAATTTAGTAATACTACTAATACACATGAATGGTTATCAAAACAAAATTTAAATACATGGGTGATAATTATATGAATTTTGGACAGATAGCTAGGAACAAATCGTTAAACATGAGTGTATTCGTAAGAGACATGCTCTAGACTCAATGTTCTGATCTGCGGCAGACTATTTATTTATATTTATACTTGCTGGCTGATTGGGCATACAAGTTAGTTGCAAGTATGCAGTTCATCATAAGGCGGAATACGATTAAATTGAGATATAGTGGTTATAAGTTATTAAAATCAGTTAGGCCTGTGTCATATTACGAAGTGATGTGGTACTGCAAGATGTATTTAGCTAAATAAGTTTTTACAAGATGATTAATAGTGAGTGGTACTCATGTGATTATCAGAGAGAACATAAGTTGTAACCAGGGGGAGTACACTCCCAACTCATGTCTATGATAATGGCTTGAACCTTAGTCAGTGTTGAGGTAAATTCGACATTGATTATTTCAGTTTGCAGGAGATTTGCTCGACTGCTTATACTGATTATTTGCATGCATGATTGTGTCGCTAAACCATCAATTAAACTGACAAGGTTTTGAGATATTTACTGAATGAGCAACTGATAGAGAAACCTACTGTAATCATCTGTAGTGAATGAAGATAAAAGAAAAACAACACTAGTGATAATGATAAGTCAATTTGTTGACCGATTTTGTTAATAGTATCATTAATTTTATCAATCATATTACGTGATTGTCAAGTCATGACAATGCTTTATGACGATATCCTGAAACTATTATGTTTAACTAGTTATAGTGTTGAATGAGGATTAGTCAGTGGAAAAATAGGTATTGTTGTAATTCGAGATTATCAGAAATTTGTAACGTTAAAGAATCTGAGACGCCTAATTTAATTATAAATTTTAATTCAGAAAGATTCGTTTGGTGTTAATTCTAGTGGGCTACAGAGTTTTGATTTTAAACGTTTGTTTAGCCAACAGCCACCTAGGGATTTAGTTATTTTACTAGTGCAGTTGATAGTGCCTGAATTTGTAGTTTTATTATCTAAACTATGTTCGCATTTTAGGCTGCTAATATGATACACCAATCCATAAACCCAAATACGATTAGCAACAACGACTATGATGGGTTTATTGATAAATGTTAAAGGCGATTCAGATGATTTCTAAGTTCAAAAGATATGAAGATATAGTAAAACGTATGTACGGGCCAGGTTAACATGCAGGTTGTTGACGTATATAAAAATTTAAAAATAATGAACATGACCAGAAAATAATTTTAAAGTTTAGACTGCTTGTGAAGCTTCAGGCAGGAATATGATGCATTATCAACATTCCATAAGAAGTTACTGCATTTAGCCTAAGGACACTTAGAAATATATAGCAAAAGGAACCGGAAAACATATACATGTTAAGTAAAAAAATCATCAGGTAAAATAGTTGAACTCGCCTGGGTTATTTTTGAAAATTAGATTATTCAGTGGATGACATATATAACGCCATTAGTGAGTAGTAATGATCCAAGAGCATCCAGAATAAAACATGCAGTATGGCAATTAATTCCAGGGTGCTTGATGCTGCTGGCGTTTTCGCCACTCGCTCGGATCAGAACAATCGAATGAATCCAGATAATTGTGTGGTTGGCATTGAACGAGTCATCTAAAATGACTTTATGATTGCAGGAAGCTTATAGCTGGAACTCACCGTGTTTTTGAAGAAATGTCATCCTTGTTGGTTGGCGATGGAACTCGAAAATTTGAAATTAGGCAGGCAGTGGTCGGAAGAAAAGATAATAATAATATAATAATAATATATTTCTGCATGTGCAGGTACACACCGTTTTTACAGGCATGATCTATAAATTACAATATTTGTTGGTTCGCAAAATGCTTCCCAACTTATTAAGTTTATAGTTGTTATAAAGTGAGATCGTAGAGCGCTTGCTGTAAACTATGACCTTGAGAGGACGCGTACGTTAAGTTTGCTCCAAACGTCAGAAGTTTCATAGTTGTGCTCTCAGAGCAAGATTCTGAAGGAGAAAAAAAAAAGAAACAGAGGAGCAGCAAGGCACTTGGATATGAACGCCAAAGGTTGCTTAACATTGTGTAGTAGAACGGACAGAGGTATAATAAATTAGAATAAATTCATATTATGTCTTGTTAGAGTGAAGTGAAGTCAGAGGCTCCATATTAGAAAATGTACTAATAAAGAACAACGAGTAGTGATGTTTAACAAGTTGGAGTAAGCTCACATGAAGGAAGGGAAGTCAAGGTTGGTACAAGGGAAGCGGTTTATTAGAAGGGTGTATATATAGAGGGTGAAGTGTTAAGAATACTAGTGACTATATCTTTTATTGTCTTTTTTCTTTTCTTTTTTTGTCCATCCGATGTCAGCCACGCAATCCTAGTGTAAAAGTCCGAGTTAGCATGTTATAGGTTGTCTTAGTAGAATAGCTAATCCAGCATATTATTGGAAACATGAGTCTGAGTGGTGAGCGTAGGAAGACAATCTATATCTTAGATTGACTGTCTTATTCTCAATTATATTACAGGATAGTGCATAGTTTAAAACAGGATGAGGTGTTAAGCGAAGGAACACTAAGAATTAGATCCAGATAACTATTCAATCCTTGATTGCATTGTTAGTCAATGTATATTTACGCTATTTACAGGTCATATTTGCTGGAGCTTGATGTTTAGCAAGTCTATGTCGCTGAAGCATGTAAATGCTATTACAGCTTGTTTACAAGCCATCAGAGCTAATTAGTTAATATAGACGACCAGTTTTTACTATCGAATGAGCTAGATATAACATTACGATAATATATGTGACCATTAATCAAAGGACTATTAGAATAGTGGGTTTACAAAAATAAAATCCGATTGAGAAGGTTAAGGTGGAAATAAGGATTAACAATAATAGGTTGCGTTTCTTTAGTTGGGCTCACCAATGTAGAACTATGGTCTACTATGATATTAGTACTGCTCTAATAATAGACCTAATCCTAAAATTGTAGATTTGTCATGATATAACTGCCTAATCCATAAGATCTTACGTGGAAGTCACATCATCGACTACACCAACTCACTGTATCGTATCAATTACCAATACATGATGTAGAACAAGGTTAGGCTAGAGAAAGAACAATATATTTAATATGAATAGAAGATATAAAGTAACACTCAGATGGACCACGCCTGCATGGCCGAGCCATGCCACTCGACCAACTTCAGTCCATTCAATTCATTGTTCGCGCCTTCTCCATTGTTAGGTATTTCTCCGCGTTAAATATTGAATATCTATTTTCTGAGTAGTCTCGTGTTCACAGCTTTGTGGATTGTGTGGCTATTGTCCAATGCCACTACAAGCCTTTTATGTGTGATTGCTAAATGAATCTACCAGTGCTACACAACAAGCATTTTATAGCGTGGTGTCGAGTCATGATTAAATATGAATGTGAGTCACTACACCCTCACCACATTGGTCTGATATGACATTGCTGTGACTACGTTTGGTCAAGATGCAAGTAGCAGGTTAGTGCTTTTTTTGCTCCATTTAGCAAGTATTAGCAATGCAAATGTTCTAATCTTCAACCATTTGTGTAATTTATGCCTATGTAGTGGGACCTGCTGAAGACCTCCTAACGGACTGGGGGGCATTTACTTTTAGAAAATTTAAGTATTATGGTGTTCCAATGAGTTCCAGTTGGGTAAAGCTTGTGTTTAAAAGAGGAGGATTTCAAATTATGTTTGAAATCACAAAAAGATATGAAGTAATTTAGTACGATTGATCCCTTAAGAGTAGTTCCAGAAATGAATTCAAGAAAAGTCGTCTGCCACCACACTTTCCTCTTAAAAACTATACAAACTGCTCGAAATGAAAGAACACATAAGAGTTTAGTGTCTTGAACCCCAAAAAGACTTTGTAGTGGCATTGGGCTGTAATCACGCAATCCTCAAATATGAACAGGGGACACTTAGAAAGATAGGTGTTCAGCACTCAATGTGGTGAAGAACCACACGATGGGGAAGTCGGGAAAAATGAATTGAATGAATTCTAGTTGATCGTGTGGCATGACTCGGCCTTGCAGGCATGGTCCATGCTGAATGTCACCTTATATCTTTTATTCATATTAAATATACTGTTCATTCTCCAGCCTAAGCTTGTTCTCCACCATGTATTGGTAATTGTTACGATGCAATGAGTTGGTGTAGACGACGATCTTATAGATTAGGCAGTTATATCATGACAAATCTACAATTTTAGGATTAGGTTTATTATTGTAGCACCACTAATATCATAGTAGACCATAATTTTACGACTTCCTCTTATTCAATTAACTAATTAAAAAATGGTACACATTCTCAACATACATGACAGAAATAACCAATTCATGTGGTCTTTGTGGATGCTCGTGGTTTCATCAAGATGGACAGGAACGGCATGATCTTGCTTACGTTGGAGTTACTTTTTGTGGTTAGTATGAAAAGTCCTTTGCGCTACCCAGGAACTGTTGTTGCCTTAATGAAAGCACAGAAATAAAACGATGCTTTTGAGGAAACATATTGGTAAAAATGGGTTGATGAAGCCGAGTGGCACCACTGCAGCGCTGGCCTCTTCATGACATGTATTTTTGTCCACAGTGGCCACCCTTGTCGTTGAAGTTATTCGATAAACTGTGCAACTATTCATCAAGCATGGGGATATTTTAGATCTGAATAGAGTACAGTGACATTTCACCGGTAATACAGGGGCTAGAATTTTACCAAGCCACCTCATGTTTATACTTGACTCGCTCCCAAAAACTGATGATAAGAATTCACAAAGTCTTCCAGACTGACTCAAGAATCAATTTCACTGATCACGAGCAGTCCGCCACATATTCCGTTTCAATTGAACCACAACTTATTATTAGAAAAGTCCGCAACGGCAACCAGTTAATGTAAATCCTAAATGAACTAGTGTTGGGATAATCATACAATTTCTTTTGGCTCTTGTGGCCTTCTTATCAATGAAATTTACAGCATAGAGTTTTTGTTTAATGGTAGACCGGTGTTATTGACAAGCCAAAAATATGGGCATATCTCCGCCTCACGTTCTGAGGCCGACTTGGTGGCGTGATTTGAAAGGCATACGACAATCCCTCAACATCATAATGCGAGAACACAGATCCGTACTGGTTTCAACTGTTTCAGAGATTGGGCATTTAAAGTTGTACGGCAAAACATTCGAGATCTGCGTAACAGCTTCTAACTGTGGTTGTCAGGTCGCCTAACTTTTGTGCTTGTCTTATTCCCAATTGTTGTCTATCGTTTAAAATAATTAGTGTAAGTTACCATAATGTGTTAATCGAGTGACTGTTCTGCCTTTTCTTTAACTTCTCAAGCTCTACTCACATCCTCCCAACATTCAAGGTACCTAGGAAACTAGCTAGTTTCCCGATTCTTGGGGAAATTTGAAAGAATTGTAGTGGAAAATTTTTAGCGAACGCGACTGATATTTAAAGGTTGGTACATGGTCTTAAAAAGCACAAACTTACACATGTCTGGAGAACTCGAAAATCGGGAGATTGGCTACAATCATGTTGCAAGCGAACCTGTTGAATGCCAAATGTGGCGAGACTATAATTTATGGACGAACCAATCAGATATAAGATAAAGAAAGTGACGAAGTTGGGCACGGAATTCATCCATACATTTGGCTAATTAGAGTTTTGGCTTTATAGCTGTCTGTTCGTGATGAAAACCCTTAATCTAATTTTTAACCCTAACCATCAACTGTAAATGAGAATTTTAACTGCTTGATAACCCTCATTTAGTTATCGTAAGTAGTTCACGCTCAAGATTACTTCATCGTCGCTCAAATGTCGTCCATAAATTATAGTCTCACCCCAAATGTTACCCATCTCGTATATATTTGTAACCTCAAATTTTGATTACTGGCTTCCCATAAAACTTCATTCATGAGAACCTTCACCTTTTTTTCAGTAAAATCTTTACTAAAGTTTGAATTTTTAGCAAGTAAATGAGGTAAACATAAGCGAGCTTAATTGAAATTCTAGGGACATCCCTTATGATAAGTTAGTGTAAATATGGTTAGAAATGTATAAACATTGTTTTTCTTTAATCCGGTGTACATTACGCAAAGTATTTTGGGATTTCCCAGTGAGGTGGAATTTTTCAAGATTGGCCCGTCGTCTTCAAAAATGTCCACTTTCCCTAAAACCAAGTAAAGCATTAGAATTAGGGCATTTCTGGTATTGATAGTCCTAAATACAGGCGAAATAGTCGATGCTGTTACTTTCTACACAGAAGCACTTAGTGTACAATGTTTTTGTCGGGAGTCAGAAGCCCCAAACTTTCAACTTTCAGACAAAGTTGGTCAATGAAAATATTTGTTTTGATCAATACAATTCAAAACAGATCCGTTAATGGTTATTGTAAGGTCTCTGTCGTGTTTGACGAAATTATGATTTCACCTAATCTGAAAACAAAACGAAAACTCTGACACAATGACAGCTAAGCTAGCTATTCCGACGCGTCTCAGACCCGCTGACTTGAGAGAGAAGTCCAAGTTCGGAAAAGGTAAATATTCCACATGCAGCTAAAAGCATGAGTAACTACGGCAAGTCTGATCGGAAATACATTTATTTGTATATTGATTCATACACTCATTTTTGATTAATAATTAGATTACAATCACATGAAAATTACTTAGTTATGACAAGTCATATGTTCAATATAATTCATGTTAACTTAATCCGAGAATATCCTATATTATGCAGAATAAAATGTCATGCGGAAAAACAAAACAAATACTATAATGAGTAATCATCACATTGAATTAAAACGGAATTAATGTTGAACAAAAATCGTCATCAGTAAATCAATCGAATTTTGACTTTTTATCCCGTCATATCACTTGTAAGTCTTGTGTGATAAATCTACCCATAAATAATCAACTTAATGACACCTAAGTATATTAAATGTATGGTACCTAAGGCGAGAATGTACAGTATATTCGTAGCTTATTTCGCCCCTATCCCCAATTTTCGGACTTTTCGGACAATTTGGTTAGTTTTTGAGAAGCCACACTTTGAATTTTAAGGATAATGCCACTAAAAACCTGAATCTCCTCTGGTCTATGGTTTTGGCTGAATTACGCACATGCTTTGAGGAAACCCATTGAATCTTGTTGGGAAATCCTCAAAACGTATAAATATATTGGGGAAAACCCTGAAATCTCCCCAAAGTCTTCGGAACCCTTTAGAACTTATTGGGAAGTTCCCAGAATTCCCACTGTGTGAACGTCTTTTCCTTTTTTTACAGTTAAAATCGCGTTCCATAAATTTCACGTCATTCAAAAACTAGTTGCTTATTATTGACCACGTTAACGTATTCGCCTACTCACCTTTATACATAAAACCAGTAAAATATGTGACTTGAATATGTTATTCTACAATAAACAGTCAAATGAACGATTATTGTAGGAAAATATACTAAGCCACGGTCACAGTTTATTCACGTTATCAAACTAATCCTATCTTATCGGCACTTCTAATATCTTCTTTTATATTTACGCGTCACAACAGTTACATAACTGATGTGTTAGAAATATTATTGCAGATTAATTTAAAATAAGAATTTATAAAAATTACTGGGATAAATGTTTTCTTCATATTGTTTACATTTGGATATATTTGTAGATTTCCTGTTCCATCCCGATTTTTCTCCGTAGTATTCTGTGAATATCGAAACGTTATTCATAATCAGTACAGAATTAATATAAGTACTGCTCCAATAACATGATGAAGAAACGCTTGATATAATGAAATTCACGAAACCTGGATATTACGCATTTTCGACGCAATGCCACTAGCAAAAGACTTTAGAAACATATGAAGCGTAAAGAAAGTTATGTGACACAATGTGTATAGAATTAATGGTTTGTAGTGACGTCAGTGAGTAATTGTGAAATCATCTAAAAGATGAAAATATGCAGTTATTATTAGTTTCTACATAAGCCTGTGAACACAAACACATAAGCAACAGTACATTTTAATTGCATTATGACTACATTTTTTGGATTGTCATACACACGTGCTTTATCTCTTGCGTCGTGCAACAAAGCCTGGCTGTTAACACCCACCACTTGTGTTGTCTTTTTCAGGACAGATAGCAGTTTTTAGCTGTGCGTACGAAACATTTAGCAAAAAAGTGTTTAGTTTTCTTGAATTACTGCTAGTTAGTTTGTAGTATCTGTAATTACTTATGCACATTTTGCTTTTAGTCCCAAGTAAGCCATAAGTACACATCGGCACGTAAGCTAATGTCACCTTCATGGAGTTACGACGATTACTGTCTAAATCTTTGTAAACAATTGTCTGAACTTACAGACTGATCAAGGAAGTTTTGTCCCTGCAATCCAGCTCCTAAATGCTAAGTTCTCTGTGTGTTTTTAATGGATATTCCAAGTTAGCAGAATCTATGTTGCAGGTACTTTTGAACTTGGCAAAGGTGAATAGGCATTGAATGTACGTTTTTATTTTGCTGATCTGATTCGGCAGGTCACTGATTGCTTCAACAAGCAGTGAACATTGGATATTACAAGTACTGGACACATTGGCGTAAAATTAATTATAAAACTTATATGTTAACAATGTGGGATTTAGATAAGAGAGATGGGGTGAGCATCTTTGTTTTGCAAAGACTGGTTTGTATGCATGTACTTAATATACAATTAGTTATTGGCGAGAAGTTACTAGTTAAGATACTGACGACTGGAAACCCAACGGAAATGCTTCCAGCCTTTATTTTAGCAGTCCTTCCAAGGTGTACAAGTAGTCATTGTGTTTTTGTTTTGCCGCTCTGACAACCCTTTATTACACGTGATTATCAATTTACCTTTTAGGCATTTCAGACTGACATAGCAGCGTGTCATCTGGGCATGTGTAAACGGCATTGTAACTGAAGAATTCTGTAAATGTCATATTTAATTCGTCAGTTACCTGTAAGTTGTCTGAAAGAAAGATATTTTATGTATTCACAACTCACCTCAATAATGCAGTACAGTCCATGTTCTCAACAAGCACCCATCGTCCAGATTATTACAATCCACAATGTCTTTAAATGTAACATTTTCCCTATGGACAAACAATTGCTTGTTCAGTAGCCAGCTCTACCGGCTCATCATTATTTACTTCCTCTTGTCGTTGATGACGACATTAGCCTTATATTGATGTTAAAATGTTACCCCCAAATGCCCCAGTGTGAGTGGCCTATGTTCCTTCACGAGGAGTAACAGGCGTAAGTAAGTAAGTAAGTAAATGCCCTAGTACGACTAAGGGTAGTGAGAGTCTTCCAAAGCGTGAATATATGGTGTATACATCCATGTTTAGGTCTGAAACTAGCCTGGTTCCATCGGTTTCGCCCTTCACGAGCTCTCATTAGACGTTGAAGTGTTATTGAGGCTAATATTTTAGGCAGTTAAACTGATTTTTCCGGGATTGCTACAAGAGGACTTTTGTCTTATAAACTGGGATGATCAGCGGTCTAGACCAGTCAGATTGGATCACATCTGATTCTCAGATTTTAGCTAAGATTCCAGTTAATTTAACTTCTCAAACTGGACCACCACCCTTAATAGTCTCAGGAATCAGTCGATCAGGCCCTGATGCTCTTTTTAGATTATTTGTAGCCTTCTCAACATCACTAAAAGTTGGAGAACTTACATCACGTTTCCATTCAGTTTGCTTGTAATTAGTGGGTCCCTAAATTTGGGCTGTAGGCCGGTTGAACTGTTCCCTAAAGTCTTCTGCCCATCTGTCCAATCTTCCGGATTAAGAGAGGACAATAGTCCCGTCTTTTTCCCAGATGGTTTCACTAACAGCCGAATTTTTAACACTTGTTTACTTGATGAGTCTCCTCTATCTATTTAAGCTCTTCTGCTTTTGTACCCACTATTGCTCACGATCATTGCGTGGTCTTTTTGTCAGCCTATATTTAAGCTGCCTTCGCTCTTCATCGTGTTTGGAGCCTGATGAGATATGTTTCCGATCGTGTATTAATTTAGTAGACGCCACTGAAAAGCACTGAGTTTTCCTAACATTTTGATTTGAGTTACTATTAAATATCACTTCTGTTTCTAGAGCTTTTTGGATATTATACCAATATAACTCGTGGTGGATATCACTCTCATGGTTGGCTAGTTCCTTCGCTAGTTGTTCTCAAAATATATTCTTGACTTTTTCACTTTTGAGCTGAACTCTGAGGAGTTTTCGTGCTGTGACTTTTCAAAATCGTGCCGATTCTTTATAGTGACAAGGTCAGGTAAAATCAATGACCGTATCTGGATCCTGTATGTGTGTTTGCGTGACGTGGCATTCACCGATAGCGCGAGATTCTAGAGTTCTTGCTAGGAAAGCCTGTTTTCCTACCTGACACAAGGTTCGAACATTAAAAGCCCCAACATTTAGTTTAGTATGTAGTTTCAGGAGACCATGAATAACGTTTTGTTAACTCCAATCATTAACATTGGTACTGCGTGGAGATAAAAATAAATGAGAAGGGTTAATCTTAGGGAAGGAAGAATTATTAAGAGGTGAGGGAGTGATTCGATCATCAGCGAAATAATCTCAGGTGCTTAGAGGCGAGCGTTGGTGCAGATGCTGGTTGTCCAAGGGAAACACTGCTCAACAGTATGACTTCACCCTTGAGCCTTATGTTGCTGCTTTTAGTCTTACCGCTCTCCACCCAACCTGCATGGCAAGTAAGACCTGAGGGAACATGCTTTCCAGCCAGCATAGCTCGGTTGTGTTATCACAGTAGGCACTAAAGTATATCACAGGGTACTCGCCTTGAAAAATTGATGTCTCCCAATTTAAGAAAACGTATATAGGATTTGGATAATAACCTCATAATAGTGTCGGAGTTAAAACACACTTGAAAAATACATGTCACAGTGATCCGCGTATACATGGCTAACTAATGAACATTTAAGATGCCTGTTCTACTGCGAAAAAACGACTCAGCGAAGGAATCAGATAAGTCAAAACCTATCTCTGTCCTCTCCCCACATTAGTTTGCGTGACCAAGCCAGGACCTTCATTTGCCATAACTATGTTATTAGGTCTAATACTAGGAAACCTTGACGCTCTGCACGTGATAACCTCTTTTGAGAAAACATAACCTATAAGAGACTCAGTCACTAGGTTTTGTCAAATGATGTATCGATCAATACATCGTTTGATACTTCTACAAACACTTTATGTTGCTGGCTACTTTTGTCCTAATAGGGTAATCAGTTTCAGTCTAATTTTAATCCCAAGTCACATACTTAAATTCTCTAACTGCATGTTCATCGTACTTTTTCAGGTGTAGATGGACATGCTCAGACTAGTCTATATCTAAGTTTAAGCAATGTGCAGTTCGAACACATTCGGACAGAACTAGTCAGTCGACCAATTAACCGCTTAAATTGTGTCATAGATTTAAATCTTGCTCCATCTGTTTCAGTTCGTCCAGCCAGGTAGTTTCATACTTGAGGTTTGGTTTAAATCAGCGCATGAATCTGCAATGGGTTCATAAGTTGTTTCAAAAGATGCCTGTGTAGTATTGTACATTTTTTTGGATAGTTGCTGGTGAAACATACCAATTTACGACGATGCAAAGATCTAGTACTTCTAGGTTTTTAATGTATCTCTAGCTTACTTAAGCTTGTATTAATTGAATTTCTTCAAGTATATAGCGTAACAAGCAAGTCAGAACTGTTATCGTTTACATCGTATCTTTCATCACTTGGTTACTTAATAGTTTACTTGTTTTAGAATCCGGAAGTAAATTCCAATATATCATATTTCCTCTTTGTTAATATATTACAGGCATAACTATTCAAATCTAGGGAAAACAAAGTGCTCTAAGCTATGTTGGAACAAAGTGCCAATGTCTCACCTTTTACGCCAAGGGAAGACAAAACCTGTTGGATTTGTTTGAGTTCTGAAGTAGATGGTAACTCGGCCAACTTATGGAGCAGACCTTGTCGCTGCCGTGGCGCACTGAAATGGGTTCATCAAACGTGTCTTCAAAGGTGGATTAGTGAACAACAACACAGCAGAGGAGAATCGAATTCTATTTCATGTCAGATATGTAATACACCATATATAATAGTTTATCCTGATTGCGGTAAGTTCCGTTTAATGATCTTGGCGAATCAAATAGTACTGAAATTCTTTTATCTAAGCTAAACTGCAACCAACCTGTTTTTAAGTAGTTTGTTGATTATTTTGTAATAATATACTCATTATTTGATTAATCTTATGTGATTCACGATTAAAATGAAGTCTAGATTTCCCAGTCATTCTTCTCTTTGTAGGGTATAAAAAGTAAGTTTAACATTACGATCTAGATTTGACCCAAGCCATATAGTTTAATATGTCATACCTTTTATAACTTGGAAATCCCATCCAATCTAGATGATCTGACTCAGCTGAAATATGTATAGTGTTTGATCGCGTTGAAGATTGTTTCAGTCTTCTTTAGACATGGCGAAACATCGCGTAGATACACCCATCAATATCCTGAATATCTTAACCAACGTTCTTAGTTCACTTGCGACTTAATGTCTGATACTTGACCTTTAACGAATAGTTTACAGTTAGACATGTGGTTGACTTCTTTCTTGTCATTTTTAAACTTGGTTTGTTCGGAATTCATAACAAAGGTTCCTAGTATTTTCTGGCTTAAGCATTGTAAAAGAGCAATATTTTTTAATTTTTGTATTGATGTAAATTATTTGGTCAAATTATTGCGTTTTTTGTGTCACTGTTCGTACCAGCAAAGTCTTCAGCATATGTAATATCAAAACTTTGAATATTATTATTATTATTATTCCAGAGTGGTTTATTTGTCTAACAGAAGACATACTAAAATGTAAATTGTAAGTATCAACAGCTCAAATAATAGTGTATAGTTATCAATATATTCCACTCTGACGTTTCGAAGAATCTTTAGTAGGTTGCCTTTGACGAATTCTAGCTAAATGGATATTACGCTACTCATAGTTCGGGCACTTATGTATGATATAGTTGAAGTACCAGTTTGTTAGATCAAGCTTGTTTAGTAGATAATAATAAGCAGCATAACATGCACGACCAGATTCAAAATGCCATGAGTGCTGGACTGTGTTTCGTAATCTAGTTTTATCAATGGAAACTAACGAGGTACTAGATGTTAAACACTAATCCCAACCTATCTAAACTGTACGTCAAAATGTTTATGGTTTAACAACCACTAATAAGCAAAAACTCTCTGACCCAAAATTGCGACTGTTCTCTTGTTTTATATTATCACTCTACTTACAACTGAAAGTATCCCCCATAATTTTTATTATACATTGTGTTACATTCATCTCAGTTTCAGAAAACCTTATAAATAAATTCGAATTTTAACTCATACTTTTGGTCACTTTCAATCGTTTATCAAAGAGAGGCACCATTTCTTACGTAGATTTATTTTTAGGTGATATGTTTTCAAATAATATGGAACGTGACTGTATTCTGTCCTCTAGTAGTAATTATCATTTGATTTGATTTGTATGTGGGCTATGATACTGTCCAGGTTCCCAGACCTAAACAGGTGGTTTTCTTTGGGGGCCACACCCAGAGCCTTCGACCTAAAAGTCTGATCTGCAAGGCAGTGGACTCTCGATCTTTGGCCGTAGCAGGGCATTTGGACGCATATGTATTTGATGTCCCCTTGTACCAATATTTATTAAATAATTCCACTTATTTCAGTTTAATAACAAGTAAAAATAATGTACGATTCTTTATTTAGAATATGCAAAAGTCGGCGCAATAGGACACCAAATAGAACACACTACACAAAGAACAACGATTATATTGTGATGAAATATAAAGTAGGAGGATCATATGATCGATGAACAAATGAACAGAAGAAATATTTAGTTAAAGATGCAGTTCATTTTTAAAAATAAAATGGTGAAAAGGACTTTAGGTTAAGTGTCCACCCTACTTCTATGAGAGATATACTGAAAAAAAAACTACAACAGAATCTTTATTGACTTATGACCCCTGTAGCACAACATCCCTATCAAATGTGTTGATTTATCTTTAATATCTCAACTAGTACGTAGTTATAAACTTACATGCACCATACCTAAGCAGCCATCTTTCGTACTACGAAATTATGGCGTGTACTAACCACTTTTCCCATCCAGTTCTAGCGTCCGAAAATAATATGCGATAATGAATCCTCCAGTACAACTTAGTCCCAACCGTACCTGCTACTTCGACGCGGTGGTCGGGCTTGCCTATCGTAATGACACAACCGAGCCATATTGGCTGGAACATATGATCCTGTAGGTTCTACCATGCCAGGCAGGTCGATTGGAGAACGGTAAGACTAAAAGCAGCAACTCAAGGTCTGAGGGCGAAGTCCTACTGCTGACTGTAGAGGGGTGTGACAGCAGTAAGGTGTTTCCCTCGGACAACCAGCATCTACAGCGATGCTGCCTTCTCACAAGGAAGGACGGGGTTAGAAAAGGTCGACCATAAAAATGTCACACCTCACCTTATCTCACGGATTTCCGTCTCCGAAGGTAAGGCCCTTTGAAGAACGGAGCTAACACGTCAAAAACCCCCCACGAAAAGGCCGTGCGCGACCGGCCTCAAGCAGTTGTCCCTTAGGCTCTGCGGTCACGCTCCCAGGTCGTTAACGCCGACATTAATCTGAATTCCTTTTCAGGTTCTAGAACACAGACACACGTTCAGACGCCCCACAATCGTAGTACTTCTCGACCTTAAGGCGGCATTCGACTCTGTTGATCGTGAGGTTCTATGGCAGTGTTTGTCACTGAAAGGAGTACCAGAGAAATACATCAACCTTGTAAAGGCTTTCTACTTGAACACAAACTGGTCGAGTGAAAGCTTATGGCGAACTGTCATCAGAATTGATTACCTCAAGTGGTGTTCGTCAGGGCTGCCCACTCTCTCCATTCTTGTTTAACTTTGTCATTGACGTACTTTAGAGATAACACTTTCCTCATCTAAATTTCCAGGGGTTGAACTTCTACCGGGAGGTTCGGTTGTTGACTTAGAATATGCCGATGACAGTTCTATGTGGTGAAGACGCCGACAAAATGCAGAGTCTTCTGACCACTCTAAGCAACAATGCAGGCATGTTCGGGATGCGATTCTCGCCCTCGAAATGTAAAATGTTGCTTTAGGATTGGGTTGCATCGACACCCAAACTAATGATAGGGAGTGAAGTAGTTGAGTGTGTCGACCGCTTCACTTATCTTGGAAGTCTCATCAGCCCTTGTGGTCTGGTGTGTGACGAAGTCTCAGCACGGATACAGAAGGCTCGACTAGCTTTTGCTAACTTGCGTCATTTATGGCGTAGGCGAGACATCCGTCTATCAACCAAAGGACGTGTTTACTGTGCAGCAGTTCGTCCCGTCCTTCTTTATGGCAGTGAAACATGGCCGGTAAGAGTAGAAGATATTCGTAGGTTACTAGTATTCGATCATAGGTGTCTTCGAAACATTGCTCGTATATCGTGGGACCATCGAGTAAGTAACGCAGTTGTTAGGAAACAGGTACTAGGTAAGGATGGCAAACCCATTGATGAAGTAGTGAAACTTCATCAGTTGAGATGGCTGGGACACGTGTTACGTATGCCCAACCACCGACTGCCTCGACGTGCTATGTTCAGTGGTATAGGAGTAAGTTGGAAGAAAGCTAGGGGCGGCCAGAACAAAACATGGCACAAGTCCATGAAGTCACTGACAAGTGGACTGAGTCATGTTGGTAGGTGTAGACTACCTGGTTGGGGATCGCGAGATGATAGCAACTGATGGTTAGAGACCCTGAATGTTTATATTTTTTATTTTTATTTGAACACATAAATATTGGTACAAGAGAGCGCCAATATATATGCGCCACACAAAACAATGAAAATTCGAGAGGAATACAAAGAAAGACAAGAAAGAAGCTAAGGAGCGCAACAAAAAAAGAGATAACGATAACGAAGAGATTGGAGTAAGGTAGTGTGGTAGTAACGACTGAACGAAAATGTACAATCAGAAGAAATCTTTCAGGTAAAGGAGACACAACCACTTTTTATGAAGAAAGTAAAAGAAGGTTACAGCAGGATCGCCACTGGCTTCTATTCTGAGCCATATCTGATAACGTCTCTAGCCACTGTGTAGCACCATCTCTCAGACCCCAACCAGGGAGTCGTGAAGGACCAACACAAGCCAGTCCTTTGCAGCTTTCTTTCATGCCACGACACCATGTCATGCACTGACCACCTCTCTGCTTCTTCCAACCAGTCCCAGAGTCGGCAAATAATGCACGACGTGGAATTCTCTGGGACGACATTCGTAGAACATGTCCGAGCCACCGAAGTCGGTGTTTCAAGATGGTGACACCAATTGAGTTATCATCTCTGCGCCCGAACACACGATGTCGAACCTCTGCATTACTGACATGGTGTTGCCACTGAATGTCAGCAATCCTTCGGAGACAGCGATGATCGAACACAGAGAGTCGTCTAACGTCCTCAACTCGGAGAGGCCAGGTTTCACAAGCATAGAGCAAAACTGCTCTCACCGACGCGTTGTAGATCCGGCCTTTTACAGCCAGACTAACATCACGAAGGCGCCAAAGGTGGCCCAGATTGGCATAAGCCGCTCTGGCTTTCACTATACGTGCATTGATCTCATCACTCACACTACCACCAGCACTTATGCAGCTACCCAGATACACGAACTTCTCAACTACGTCTATCTGCTCACCATCCAGAGTGAGTACAGGATTAGAATCCTTCCAGTCTTGTAGAAGTACTTTGCACTTCGAAGGTGCAAAGCACATACCATACCTACGGACACTGATTGCCAACTGATTAAGTGCGGATTGCATGCCTTGGGCATTATCGCACAGTAAGACAATATTGTCCGCATACTCAAGGTCGAGAAGTCTTTCTCCAGGCAACAGATCCACACCACCATTACTTACATCCATCAGAGCTGTTTCCAGAATGTCATCGATGGCAAATTTGAAGAGGAATGGTGAGATTGGGCAACCCTGCCTAACCCCACTGCTCGAATGGAACAATGGAGAGAGGTGGTTGTATGCCCTCACTCTGCCTGAGGTGTTTTTATA